TCTTGGACATTTTGATTATGTACAACTCTACCTGTTCCCATAATTATTAAGATTGCAACTACATTATTTAGTTAATTATACTAATTAAGAAAGTATAATACATACTCCAATTATTGAAATACACGACATCATGTTGGGATTCAATATTTCGACATTAATTATGTCATCATCAGGATGATGACATAATCACATAATCATTCCTGATGATGACATTATTAATGTCGAAATATTGAATCCCAACACGATGGCGTGTATTTCAATACTTGGAGTATGCATTATACTTTCTTATCTGAGATTAATCAGTGGACCTTTCGGTTTTTAGACTAATTAACCATAGCGCAAAAACCGAGTAAATTGATTTTTTTTCGTTTCAGTGGGACGTTATCAGAAAACACGCGTTGTGATTGTTGTGAAATTTCATTTCCTTAACTTTCTTAGGCATAGCGTTACACTTTTTGGAGTATAAAGTGACAAAGGCCTAAACTCATGCATCAAGTGTGGAATTATTAGTAAAACATAATAATTTAAACAGGATAAGCCTAGTTTGTGTCTGACAACATAGTGCGTTAACATGTCAGCCTACTCTGGATAAAAATGGGTGAGCCGTACTAGCCTTATGTAGTAGAAAATAACACTCAGGACATTTAGTAATTATGTCCAAAGTTTTATTTGTTCATGTTCTTGTTACCAGAACTTTAAAAGCGTCCAACGTTGCCAGTTTTGAACGGACGTGCAGGAATTTTTGTACACATAAACTAGAGGTGATTTCCAACAAACGTTCATCGCCCTTTTTATAAGTTGGACCCCAGGGATCCCCCTACACCTACAAAACAAAACATGGGTTTCAAATTTAAAAGAGTCCAGCGTCACCAGTTTTGACCGCACGTGCATGAAATTTTGTACACATAAACTAGAGGAGATTTACAACGAACGTTCATCGCCCTTTTTTAACTTTGACTCAGGGTTCCCCCCTACACCTACAAAACAAAACAGGGGTTTCGGCAAGGACTGTACAGCCATTTACCACTAACTTAATGTGCACATCGCATGAATGGCGCGGTCGGTTAAGGATATGTTAAAGAACTTAAGGTCGTGAGCTCGATTCGTGTATTTAGCAAGTTTGAATCCCGTATTTATTTAGGCCTATTTATTTTTTTTTCATTTTGTCAAACAGTTCTCATCCATGTTTATTAAAAAAGAAAATTAACACCGAGGCGCGATTCGAACTTGCGACCTTCGGATAAGGATGTGTTCTAAACGACTGAAGATCGTGAGTTCAAAACGCATCTTGGTATTCATTTTTTATCCAATTTATGTTTTTATTTTAATTTTGTACAAATGATCATTCTAAATACTGTAATGTGTTTTTTTGTACAAATAAAGATTCTAATTATTTAATATTAGCTCTTCCAAAAAACCAATATAATAACTTGCGCCTGTACCGTATTTAAGCATGGAGGAAAGCGCGGGCCTAGTGAGCGGTCGCTCGTGTCTAACCTATGCTGGGTTTATTAACAGACAAACATTTCACGTTAGTTAATAGGCTATTTTAAGCTAAGAAAAGAAAAATAAATGAAATATTTGAATTGAATGCTTTATTCTTAAACATGTTAACAAATATTTAAAACATCGGTTTTGTGAAGTAGTCCACTTCAATCGTGGTGTTTTTCTCAAAGCGTTGTTTTGGTCGAAATTGAAGTTTGTCTCTCTTCGTGGTGTTGTTGACGATTTTTTTTCAGAATAACATGGAAATAAAATTGATGTGAACCAGGCTACAGACCTACTATGATAGGATAGGAACACCCTTAAATATAAGAAGATGGAAATTGTTCCTACAATCAAACACATAACTTAATTCTACCCATCTTCTAAAATTGAATATTTTCAGATAGGCCTACCTAACAAATATTATTTTATTGTAGAGAGATGTTTTTAACCAGTTTTTGATTCATGCTGCCCTGAAGTCAACGGAAAAGCAGCATCAGAAATTAGCAAGGTGAAACACTTATTATCGTTATAAAAATATAAACAACTTAATACAAAGGTATAGTCTGAATTTGCCACAATTGCTGTATGGAGCTCTATCGAGATTCGAACTTAACCAGCAATCATTCTCCATGAAGGCGAGTGTCATACTGCTACCACAGAGACCAATAAGATCTAGGCACAGATTTAAACACCATTTATCATGCAAAGTAGACATATTTTAGGCCTAAAACCCTTTCAGATTATCAAATTGTACTGGACAAAAACATGTGACCATAGGAATATCATGATTATATAGGCAATCCACAGTTTTTTCAAAGAAATCTGATAATCTACGTAAAGCTAAAAAAAATAGCTGGTAAGTCTTTGGCAGCGATATGAGGACAAATGGAAAGATTAAATTTTTTTGTCCGTTAATTGTCTTAGAACATGTTCCAGTATTTGTAAATCGTTAATAGTAATTGTTATAATGCTTAACCAATAACATAATATAATCTAATTGTGTATGATGTATTTTCAAATTGCAGATGTTTGCTAATTGAACGGAAATCATTGAAAGATTGCGCCCCCCTCACAGATCGCCTTACGGCCAGAGCAATGGCTCTTCATATTGATTGATTGATTGATATCAAAAAGTAAAACTGGAGACAAGAATGCGGACTGTGGTTATGGTATATTTTAGTGGTATATTAACTGGGGAAACCTGCTCTGGCTCTGCCAACTGATAATTGTATTGATAATTGAAGAAACGTGAATGTGCAGTTGTAAGTTGAGAAACTAAAAAAACAGATAATACAATACCTATATTAAGTTATTTTATATATATATATATATATGTGTATATATATA